GGAATGATGATGTGAAGAGAGTAGTAAGGGAGAAAAAGTTACATATGAGAAGTTTTTTACAAAGTAGAAATGATGCAAGGAGAGAAAGTAGTGGAGAAAAAGAGAGGTTTAAAAGAGTGGTGAAGCAAGTAAAAAGAGAGCAAATGAGAGAGTGGTGAGATGTTATCAACAAATTTTGTTGAAAATAAGAAAAAGTTTTGGGGTGAGATTAACAAGTTTAAAAAAGCCTAAGAACAAATGGATTTGTCAGTTAAAAATAGGAGAGGAGAGTTATTAAATGGAGAGTTAGAGGTATTTGGGGAAGAACGGAGGGAAATTTGAGGAATTGTTAAATGTTGATGAAAAATAGAGAACCTGTGATTTCTGTAAGGGCAAGGAGGGAAAAACATCTTGTAGGAGGAGGAAGAGCCAGTTGTGAGTGTGGGGGGAAATTCTGAGGCAGTAGGTAAAATGAAAAGGGGTAAGGCAGCCGGGGTTGATGGGATAAAGATAGAAATGTTAAAAGCAGGTGGGGATATAGTTTTGGAGTGGTTGTGCAATTATTTAATAAATGTATGGAAGAGGTAAAGGTACCTAGGATTGGCAGAGAGCATGCATAGTATCCTTTGTATAAAGGCAAAGGGGATAAAAAGAGTGCAAAAATTATAGGGGGGTAAGTCTGTTGAATATACCTGGCAAAGTGTATGGTAGAGTTATTATTGAAAGAATTAAGAGTAAGACGGGGAATAGGATAGCAGATGAACAAGGAGGCTTTAGGGAAAAGTAGGGGTGTGTGGACCAGTTTTGCAGTGAAACATATAATGAACAGTATTAGATAATATAGGTAGTAGGTTGGTAGCAGCAACCGCCCAGGGAGGTACTACCGTCCTGCCAAGTGAGTGTAAAACGAAAGCCTGTAATTGTTTTACAGATGGTAAAGGATTGCAGGTGTCCTTTTTTCTGTCTCATGAACATGCAAGATTTCAGGTACGTCTTGCTACTTCTACTTACACTTAGGTCACACTACACATACATGTACAAGCACATATAACCCCACCCTTCTGGTTTCTTCTATTTTCTTTCTATTTCTTATCTTTTTTTATTTCCTCTTATCTCCATGGGGAAGTGGAACAGAATTCTTCCTCCGTAAGCCATGCGTGTTGTAAGAGGCGACTAAAATGCCGGGAGCAAGGGGCTAGTAACCTCTTCTCCTGTATATATTACTAAATGTAAAAGGAGAAACTTTCGTTTTTCCTTTGGGCCACCCTGCCTCGGTGGATACGGCCGGTGGTTTGAAAAAAAAGAAAGAAGTAATTTAGATAAGGCAAAAAAGGTCTTTGTGGCATTTATGGATTTGGAAAAGGCATATGACAGGGTGGATAGGGGTGCAATGTGGCACATGTTGCAGGTGTATGGTGTAGGAGGTAGGTTACTGAAAGCAGTGAAGAGTTTTTACAAGGTAGTGAGGCTCAAGTTAGAGTTTGTAGGAAAGGGAAATTATTTCCCAGTAAAAGTAGGCCTTAGACAAGGATGTGTGATGTCCCCCGTGGTTGTTTAATATATTTATAGATGGAGTTGTAAGAGAAGTAAATGCGAGGGTCCTTGGCAAGAGGCGTGGAGTTAAAAGATAAAGAATCACACCAAGTGGGAGTTTGTCACAGTTGCTCTTGCTGATGACACTGTGCTCTTGGGGAGATTCTGAAGAGAATTTGCAGAGATGGTGGATGAATTTGTGGGGTTTGTGCAAAAGAAGAAAATTAAAAGTGAATACGGGAAAAGAGTAAGGTTATGAGGATAACAAAAATATTAGGTGATGAAAGATTGGATATCAGTTTGGAGGGAGAGAGTATGGAGGAGGTAAATGTATTCAGATATTGGGAGTGGACGTGTCAGCGGATGGTCTATGAAAGATGAGGTGAATCATAGAATTGATGAGGGGAAAAGGGTGAGTGGTGCACTTAGGAGTCTGTGGAGACAAAAGAACTTTGTCCTTGGAGGCAAAGAGGGGAATGTATGGGAGTATAGTTTTTACCAAACGCTCTTATATGGGTGTGAACATGGGTAAATGAATGTTGCAGCGAGGAGAAGGCTGGAGGCAGTGGAGATGTCATGTCTGAGAGCAATGTGTGGTGTGAATATAATGCAGAGAATTCGTATTTGGAAGTTAGGAGGAGGTGCGGGAATTACCAAAACTGTTGTCCAGAGGCTGAGGAAGGGTTGTTGAGGTGGTTCGGACATGTGGAGAGAATGGAGCGAAAGAGAATATTTCAAGAGTGTATCAGTCTGTAGTGGAAGGAAGGGGGGGTAGGGTCAGCCTAGGAAAGGTTGGAGGGAGGGGGTAAAGGGGGTTTTGTGTGCGAGGGGCCCTTTGGGCTTCCACAGGCATGCGTGAGCGTGTTTTGATAGGAGTGAATGGAGACAAATGGTTTTTAATACTTGACGTGCTGTTGGAGTGTGAGCAAAGTAACATTTATGAAGGGGTTCAGGGAAACCGGCAGGCCGGACTTGAGTCCTGGAGATGGGAAGTACAGTGCCTGTACTCTGATGGAGGGGTGTTAATGTTGCAGTTTAAAAACTGTAGTGTAAAGCACCTTTCTGGCAAGACAGTGATGGAGTGAATGATGGTGAAAGTTTTTCTTTTTCGGGCCACCCTGCCTTGGTGGGAATCGGCCAGTGTGATAATAAAAAAAAAAATATGTACAGTCACAGGATATGTTCCTAGAATTGCTGCAGTCTGTGAGAGTCTTTGAAACCAGGTATCATGCACAGTGGTGTCATACTCATCTGTGGACCAGTATGATTTTATATTATGCTTATAGATATGAGGCATAAGGCATTATTGCTGCAAAAAAACAAATACATTTCAGCCACAATTATCTCCTTCCACCGGTGGATGACGATGCACTTTTCCTGGAACTGCTGAGTCAGCAGCCTGGGTCCCAGACTCACTCCCAGTCTGGGCTGGTGCCGCATGCTGTATGCTCGTGGCACCACCGCCACCTACTGACGCATGTGGTCTATCCATCCCAATTGTAGCCACACCATCGTCACTTTCACTGTCTATTCCAGAAGTAGGGCCACAGGATGTACTCTGCCCCCTTGGAATTGCATATGGTACATTGTACTATATGGTACAGGTATAGGGACCCCAATGGACATAAGTCACTGTCTGATTTTTTTGGGTTATCCTAGGTTCTCCACACATGCTGCTATGTACGATAATCTATGTAAGTGTATGTGTGCATGCCAAAATAAACTTACTTACCCACGTGCTAGTGGCGTTGTAAGTTTATTCAGGTAGTGTTCAATCAATTATCGTCCATAATCCGTTCCTGGAAGTGGGACTATTATCGAAATAGACGATTTTCGAATAAATTTTCCCCATAACAATTAATGTAAATACAATTAATCCGTTCCTGACAACCATAAGTATTAAAACAAAAAAATTTTTTACATGAAATATAGATGTAGTACATAAACAATACAATGGGACATGATGAATGAAACATTAACAGCATAACACTTACCTTTATTGGAGATTCTTCTTAGTGTATGGATGACTGGAGGAGGAGTGAGACTGAATTACTGTTTGGAAGGGGAATCCCCTTCTATCAACACCTCAGGTACCAAGTGCTTTTCTGGGGTTACTTCTCTTCTCTGTCTCTTAATGCCACTAGGACCAGCTTGAGAGTCACTGGAGTCCTGTCTCGCAAAAAAACTGTCCAGAGAGCTCTGTTTCTGGAGTCTCTTTAAAACTTTCCTAAAATGGGCCAAGACTCTGTCACTGTACAAGTTGCTGATATGGCTTGCAACATCCTTCTCAGGGTGATGTTTCTCTATAAATCTTTCCATCCTACCCCACATTTCAAATCTCCTTAATTTCTGAAGAAGGCACCTTCTTCCATCTCTCTTCCTACTCCTCTGCAGCAAGATTCTGAGCTGCAATCTGTTGCTCTTCCTGCTGAAACTCTTGCTCCTTTCATATTGTTCAATGATGTTTTTCTTAAATTCAATCGTATTTCTCACCTTCTTTACCAAAGGTTTTCTTTGGAACCATGGTAGCTTATTTAGCACTTGCAAGCACTAAAATGAATGGAATATTATGAAATATTTTGTATGAACACGTGAGGGGACCATCATTCACTGGTAAACAATGACACACTGGCTGGGAACGGCTCAGAGCTGCAAGTACGCGTCCAGGAAGAAAGATGATTAGCGAGTTAACTGACCATTTGCGAGCCAATGTTTAGACAAAATAATGGGACTATTTCCGAAATGGACGACTTTCAGGCCGGACGATTATTGAGGGACCACTGTATATACAAATACAGTTACATAGATTATCATGCATAGCAGCATATATGTGGAGAACCTAGGATGACCCAAAACGTCAAAGCGACTTATTTCCATTAGGGTCCCTGTACCATGTGGTACCATTGTAGAATATGGTACCATTGTACCATATGGTACCACTCCACCATATGGTGCAATGTACCATATGGTTCAAAACCATAAAATTCCTCTTCAGATCCAATTCCATCAGTGTTAGAGCTGTAACTTGAGAAGAGTAGAGTCCCAATTCGCCGGGGAGTGAGAGCTTCCTTACCGCCAGGCACGATGAACAAAGCGCACTGAGATGGCATTCCCACAATGTAATGCGGGTGCCCCGATTTTTTGTTTACTGCGCACAAAGACCACGCAGACCCATTCTCTTAGATGTAGGCCTACCAGCCTTCTCCTGCTAAATTTGAAGCTGTTAGAATTTTGGCGTAGATCTACGGCTTGGACCCTGGCTTCAAAGCTGTAGATCTATGGGATGGACCCTGAAAGGGTTAAGGAAAGATCCTAGACTATCTTACGAAAGCAGACAAAGCAAATGCAATAGTAATTATGGACAAGGTAGATTATAGGGTAAAATAACAAATTATTAGAAGACAGGGGAACTGATGTATCCCTTAAAAGTTAATAAGAATGAGAACGTTGAAAATGAGGATGATAGTGCGATAATTGGATTGCCTCACCTGTTCCTTGGTCAGGGTGACGCAGAAGAACCTCAGGAGCTCTGAAGCCTGGAGTACCAGCTCGAGGCGCAACTTGGTTACCTCTGCCAACACACACACCACAAACTTTGGCACTACCATAACAGTGACACGAGACTGGTCGCAACACACTTCCACCTTCAGTGTGGACCTAAACAATAATACACAACAATTAACTCAGTACACTGCTTGGTAAAACACTTTTTTAGTTATCTGTTGCTCTGCAAATTATCGCTTAATGTTTCTGGAGATCACTGTCTTTGCAGCTTAATCTCTGGCTAGGCCTCCTAGACCAGAAGGAAATATTATAGCAAATAAGACCTATTAAGAAACATTCATGAAAGCAAAAAGAAGTTTACACAAAATATAAGAAGAAGCTTCCAAGAATTACCTGTCATCATATAGATTCATGAGACGGAGTGCAAACCATTAACCCTTTGACTGTTTCAGGGCCCTCTCTGAAACTGTCATTCTATGTCGCCAAATATTCGAAAAAAAAAATTATTTTTTCTTATGAAAATGTTAGGAATATTTTTACTAGTGTTTTAAGCCTAAAAAAAAAATTTTGCCATCAGTACTTACCGAGATATAGAGCCGCAAAGTTTGCAGAAATTGACGTGCGTACGGCAACAGCGGCGACTGCCGCCCACCCGGTATTCTTTTATTTACTCTAATTCAAAGGTTTCTTGCATTTTTCAATATTTTTCTTTTCCAGGTAACTTATGTGGCCTGTGAGACCAATGTAAGGTGCATTGTTCAATATACACTCATTATTTACAACACAATAACAAGAACAAACTTTATCACTATTAGTTTGTGTATACACTTTGTTTACACAAACAAACAATACAAACAATGTTTATTACTATTGTTCCATAATATATATACATATGAACAGTCACTAAACACGTTTCTAGAACTGCTGCAGCTTGTGGAACTCTTTGAAAACATGGGTATATGCAGAGTGGCACTTCACACTCTCCACACATAAAACGAGTGTCTCTGCGTGTTTTGTGGGCGTTTTGTGGTATGCATACATACATAACACCTCTTCTGAGCATTTTTCTTGGCAGTAGTAGGAGGCAGTTGTATGGGGTAGTGATCACCAGGCCTCATACAAGATGACGTCTGTGGGGCGCTGGTCTATTGCAGGAGTTGCTCCTTGGTACTTTGCAATTATTTGTCTGATTACTGACAGGCTAAATTCACCATATTTTGGTGTTTTGTTGGTCTTCAACTTGTATATGTTATATAAGCATTTAGCATAGAGATATCAACAAGATGGAAAAAAAGTTTGATATACCACTTATACTCTTGCGTACACAGTCTGCAAACCCAATCTGCATGTCACACATTTGTCCACTAAGCGCATATTGAGGTTGTAGTCCATGACAGCTGCAGGCTTTTAGAATGGGTTCATTGGTCTCTCTGTTGTCCCTGCCACTGGGTACCATTTCGTTTCTGTGAACTGATGTCAACAATGTGACATCACGTTTGTCATGCCACCAAATGCCATGATGTCATTGGCAGCAAAGGCTTGCACCTCACCTCTGCGAGTGCCAGCGTCGAACCTTGGCATATGTTTGCGATTACCACGCACTGTGCCACACACGTCTGTCAAGTTCACTCGCAAGAAATCACTGAGTAAGGGGCTTGTGTACCAGTTATCAGTAAATAACATATGCCCCTTACCAAGATATGGTTCCATCATTGTTCGAACCACATCACCAGAGATACCCAATAACTTCATGGTATCTCTCAAAGTATTACTGCCAGTGTACACAATAATATCTAAAACAAGACCACTTCTGCAATCACACGTACAAATAGCTTTATACCAAAGCATTTCCTCTTGCTTGGTATATATTGCTTGAATGAGAGTCTTCCTTTGAATAAAATCAAGGACTCAATCAATAACAAGCTTCCTGAAGGGATAAAAATACTGCAGCACTTTTGTTTCAGGTACATAAACACATTTCTTATATAACCTGTCGCTTCTGTCAGGCCTGGTTTTGTCTGAAAAGTGTAACATACGTAACAGTATCAGGAAACGATTGACACCTATAATGTCACTAAAACCTGGAGTTGAAATCAGGCGATCTGTTGTCCAGTATGTGGTGACAGTGTGCTTATACACATGTGGCATAAGCATTATTGTGGCAAAAAACAGGTACATCTCTGCCACAGTTGTCTCCTTCCACTTGTGTAGCCGTGATTTTGGTGAGAGAATTGTATTTGCCATGGTGTAATCAGAGTATGTGTTTGTTTCCCTGACAATGATGTCCATCAGGGGTTCATCGAAGAATAACTCAAAGCAGTCCAGTTCACTGGCATTGTTCCCAAGTGGACAAGATGGCTTTATTCCACTTTGTGTTTCATCAAAGTCATGGGGACTGGGAACAAACTCGTCACCATCCTGCCAATCCCAAATGCGGTCTGCTGGTGGGGTCTGGATATTGTACCGTGGTTGTGGTTGTGCAGGTTGTGGGAGTGTGGGGTAGGGTGAGGCTGGTTGTTCTGCTGAGTCAGCCGCGTGGGTAGTAGCGTGGCCCGGTGATGGTGCCACATGGGCCGTGCCACCCTCACTATCACCACCACTGCCTCCTCCCTCACTGTCACCATTCATACCCATTGTTACAATATCGTCATCTTCACTATCAGGTCGTGGTGTGGGGCCACGGGATGTGCTCCCAGAGTTTCTCCTTCCCCTTGGAACAACATATGAAACACTACCAGACCGCATGCTACGTCGTACATACTGGCGCTTCACTAGGGAATATTCACTCTCACTGTCACTAGAACTGCTTTCAATGACCTTGAAATCACTATCACTATCACTATCACTGCTATCATCTGGGTGTTGTACACGACCAAATAGTTTCCTCTTTCGTCCTGGTACAGGCGAATGTGAACGTGAACAAGCCGGCACAGCACCAGAGGTCGAAGGTTGTGGGTCATCTGGGTTTTCGTCACTATTTACGTTATCCTGGGCACTTTTTTCGGTAACACTCACTTCAAAACCCTGGAATTCACTGTCACTGACATTTTCATCGCTGTTAGAGCTATCACTTGGGAATAAAAGACCTCCAATCCGCCGAGGAGTGAGGAACTTCTTACAGAGAGGCATGGTGAAAATGGACTGACAACATGGCGTTCCCACAATGCACCGCTGGGTCCCAGATTTTTTTCACAGGGTGCACACCAACCACTGAGACCCATTCTCTCCCGTGTAGGCCTACCAGGCCTTTGGCGCTTGATTTGAAGCCGCTAGAATTTGTGCGTATAAATACGTCAGAAACATTGGCTCGTAAGACGTATTTATACGTCGGAAACAGTCAAAGGGTTAAAGAATGCTTCTCTTTTACTCTTGTATGACAAGCAAGTAATACTAACGTACAGTTTTACCAACCCATACACATTGTAGTGCAGTAAAAATTAGAATTACAGTATTTACTCATGAGTATAATACACTCAGTTATTCTGCCTTCATCAGAGATGACCATTGAGCTAAAAAAAAAATTGACAGTAATAAAATTATTCACAGACCCTGTATTTATTATGCAAAGGAAGATAAGCTGTGGGTATATAAACAATGGGAGAGTTGCTCTTATGGACAGGTGCAGGTCATGTCAACCCTCTTAATTTGCATATGAACATTATCTCCAGCATCCTCACATTTTAGCACAGACGATGCAAAGAATATGAAAACGCTGCATGTTTTGACTGGTATGCAGAAATAAACTAATTTAATCACATTTTTTGTCTTTTCTGAGACTCCCATGGTAATAAACAATATATAAAAACTGTTTACTGTAGTGGCCCTCAGAACACACAAAAACATTGATCATGGTGGCACCACAAGATTATTCCTTCACTCTTCATTTACTTACTGTACTTTCCATACTTTAATATCAATCACTAACACATTCAACATTTGTGTAAATACATCTAGGGTAAGTGAAAGACTGTTAATCGCATAGCAATGTGCAGTTACAGTGAAATTTGTAGTTACTAGCCTTCTTGTCCAGGATTTTATCTATTTTTTTACCCTAAAGTTCCACCATTATTGATGAAACTCACCAAATGATGATTGAAAATATGCTGCAATTTTGCAATAGTTTAATATCAAAAACATTATAGATCACACCTTAATTGATGGTCTACTGTATCTAGGTACAGTCCTGTTTGCCATAAAATAGGGTAATCCTTGTAAATTTGTAGGTTCAATTATACAAGTTATGAATGGTACCTCTTGAAGCATCCTTGTGTTCTTGGCAGGTTTAGAGAGTAGTTGATCAGGTGTTGCTGTGATGCCAGACACTCTTGGGCTGGGACTACAAGTGATAACACTACGCGCCTGACGCTGACGCTGGGACAAATTTCCACGTGGTACGGAAGTAGTAATGCTGGTGCTTAAATCTACTTTATTTTTGTCAATTCTAACAGCTGGTGTTCTGCTGCTTACTGTAAATTGAAAAATATAAATTAAACAATGAAAAAATAAAGAACTACTATTCATTAACAGAGAAAACAAAATGAGAGTAGAAGTGGAACTTGTATATATAGACATTAAAATAAGAAAACATTATTTTTCTGGTATTTGTTGGACAAACTGAGCTGGTGAGAAGATTGTGGTGTAATGTTCTAAGTGAAAGATTTGTTTTTCATTGAAGGTTAAAAGGAATCTGAAACTGATTAATAGGTGCTATGATTCCTCAGCCATTAATAGATACGTATGTTACAATGGCATATATAGCAGTGTAAAACATCCTTATTTTGTGATGTGGCTACAAGTGACACGTGCATCTAACAACAACTCATTACACATATAGAAAGTAAGTTAGTTTATTAAGTTTTAAGTCAATGAACTTCAAGTGGGCCCTAAGGCTGCAAGTTCCCTGTACATTAACAATGAAGAATACATTAAAAGAAAAACAAGGATTAAATTGTGTATACTATGCACAGAGATAAACTCAACAATGTACATGCCCTCCTCACTGAGGTAGTAGGTAACATTAGTTGATAATATACATGGCAGTACAAATCAGTCATGCTTTACTACATATTTCAACCACAACTGCAGCTTTTTTTGCTTGGATTTCCTTTTTTTTTTGTTTCAAAAAATACAGTTATTGAATAAAATATTTTAAGAAAAAAAAAAAAGTACCTAGAAGATAAAAGTAACACTGGGGAACACTGGGCAAGATTTCATCTATATTCTGTTGGAGTAAAGTAACTTGTTTTTTATATTTACATGATCAGTGGTTAAGACAAAAGCAAAAGTTAATGAAGCAAAGAAGGGAAGAGTTAATGAAATGAATAAGAAAATGCTGGAAGAAAGACTGACTAGAAAAGGAGATATAACTTTGATTTAGGAATGCAGTACTAGAATGTGCAGCAGAAGCTTTTGAGAATAACAATTATTGGTGGAATAATAAAGTATAAAGGATGGTAATGGAGAAAAGGTTAGTATATGAAAATGGTACATGTATATGCAAATGGTTAGTAGATAACAAACTATCGTCACACCTCGGGAAAACAGAAGCCATACTCTTTGGCAAAAAACAACTGAGAAGGGTAAATAATTTTAATGTCCGGTGTAATGGGGAACCCATCACTCCAGTTTCCTCAGTAAAATATCTGGGAATCCCCTTTAACCATGCATGTCAGGAGAACTGATAGGGAACAGTGTAGTAAAGCGAATGCCAGACTGAAGTTCCTCTACAGACAAGCACAGTGTCTACCTACTGAGGCTAGCAGGACCCTATGTCTAGCTCTTATACAACGTCATATGGACTACGCTTGCTCTCCATGGTACTCTGCATTGACAAAAAAAAATGAAAGATAAACTGCAAGTCACCCAGAACAAAATAGTAAGATTCATCCTGGACCTGGGTCCAAGAAAACATGTAGGCCAGGATGAATTACAGCAGTTGGATATGCTGAATATTGAAAACAGAGTAAAACAACTGAAGTTAAATCAAGTTTATAAAATTGCTCACAAACAATGTCCAGAATATCTTACTGCTAATTTTGTTAAGTCTTCAACTTTCAATTGTGATCCCTTGTTTCTGTGTCCCCTCTCTGGAACATCCTGTCTCTGTTCACTTTATCTATTCCTCACAATATTTTGTATGTCGATATTTAGACACATGTGCAACATTTGGGTATCTTTATTGTAGACGTTTTGCCATCCAGTGGTTTTATCAATACAAACTCTAGGACCTAACTAAAGACATTAGAACTATATACAGAAGACAAGGTAATCAGTCCCTCAGCCTTGGAGTTGGTGTGGAGAGCACCGTGGTCGTGGAGATTCTCCACGACCACGGTGCTCTCCATACCAACTCCAAGGCTGAGGGACTGATTACCACATCTTCCTTATATAGTTCTATTGTCTTCAGTTATGTCCTGGAGTTTGTATTAATAAAGCCACTGGATGGTGAAACATCTACAATAAAGATATCAAAATACTGCACATGTCTAAATATCATCTTGTATGTATTGCATACCATTCTTGTACATTTTATATGTCATTTTCATGTCTCTCCTAACCCTCCTGTCAAGTTGTGAGGCCTATTTCCCTTAACCTTTCTTTGTAGGGCATTTCCCTTAGCTCTGGAACTAGCCTTGTTGCAAACCTTTGTGCATTCTCAAGTTTCTTGACATGCTTGACCAGGTGTGGGATCCAAACAGGTGCTGCATACTCCAGTATGGGCCTGACGTACACAGTGTACAGAGTCTTGAATGATTCCTTACTGAGGTATCGGAACATTGTTCTCAGGTTTGCCAGGCACCCAATTGCAGTAGCAGTTATCTGGTTGATGTGTGCTTCCGGAGAAATGCTCGGTACTATCATCTTTCTCTGTGAGTAAGGTTTGCAGTCATTGGCCACCTAGCCTATACTCTGTCTGTGGTCTTCATTGCCCTTCCCCGATCTTCATGACTTTGTATTTGGCTGGATTAAATTCGAGTAGCCAGTTGCTGGACCATGTGTCCACCCTGTCCAGGTCTCTTTGGTGTCCTGCCTGATCCTCATCTGATTTAATTCTTCTCATTAACTTCACATCATCTGCAAACAGGGACACATCTGAGTCTATCCCTTCCATCATGCCATTCACATATACCAAAAACAGCACTGGCCCTAGGACTGACCCATGTGGAACCCCACACGTCACAGGCGCCCACTGTGATACCTCATCTCGTACCATGACTCATTGTTGCCTCCCTGTCAGGTATTCTCTGATCCATTGCAGTGCCCTTCCTGTTATACACCCCTGATCCTCTAATTTCTTGTGAGGAACTGTGTCAAAGGCCTTCTTGCAGTCCAAGAAAATGCAATCAACCCACCCCTCTCTCTTGTGTCTTACTTCTACTACTTTGTCATAAAACTCCAGAAGGTTTGTGACACAGGATTTGCCTTTCATGAATCTGTGCTGGTTGTCGTTCATAATCTTGTTCCATTCCAGGTGCTCCACCACTCTCCTCCTGATAATCTCCTCCATGACTTTGCATACTATACATGTCAGTGACACTGGTCTATAGTTTAGCGCCTCTTTTCTGTCTCCTTTTTTACAAATGGGAACTACATTTGCCATCTTCCACACCTCAGGGAGTTGCCAGTTTCAAGGGATGTGTTGAAGATTGTGGTTAGTGGCACACACAGCATTTCTGCTCCCTCTCTAAGGACCCACGGGGAGATGTTGTCCGGTCCCATTGCCTTTGAGGTATTAATGTCACTTAGCAGCTTCTTCACCTCCTCCTCAGTTGTGTGTATGTCATCCAACACTTGTTGGTATATTCCTTGTTGGTGTCTCCCTCTTTTCTGTCTTCCCAGAGTCCTTCCTGTCTCCATTGTAAATACAGTGGACCCCCGCATAACGATGGCATCGCATAGCGATTTTTCCACATAACGATTACTTTTATCGCAAAATTTTTGCCGTGCATACCGATTAAAAACCCGCATACCGATTTTCGTCCGAGACGCGTCCAATGTGCCCTCAGCCAGCCTCACATGTGCCGCTCCGTCCCATTGTTTACCAGCCAGCCTCCGCGGTAACATCCAAGCATACACTCGGAATATTTCGTATTATTACAGTATTTTCGGTGCTGTTTCTGGAAAATAAGTGACCATGGGCCCCAAGAAAGCTTCTAGTGCCAACCCTGTGGTAAAAAGGGTGAGAATTAGTATGGAAATTAAGAAAGATTTTGAAGGGTTTGGGGCTAACCCTGAGAAGCCTATGCCAGTTGTGGAATCCATTGTGCCTACTTCAAAGATTAAGGAAATTGTGTGCAGAGTGGGTTGAACTGCAAACCTTTATAGATGAAAATCACCCTGACACAGCTGTTGCAAGCCGTGCTTGTGACTATTTCAATGACAATGTTATGGCCCCATTTTAGGAAAGTCTTGAAGGAACGGGAGGGACAGAGCTCTATGGACAGATTTGTTGTGCGACAGAGGTCCAGTGACTCTCAAGCTGGTCCTAGTGGCATTAAAAGAAGAAGGGAAGTAACCCCAGAAAAGGACTTGCTACCTCAAGTCCTAATGGAAGGGGATTCCCTTCTAAACAGTAAGAAGATAATGCTCTCCCCTCCTCCCATCCCATCAATCATCACCAGATCTTCAATAAAAGTAAGTGTCATGTAATTGTGCATGCCTTTTTCAGTTTGTGTGTATTAAAATTAACATTTCATGTGGTAAAAAAAAATTTTTTTCATACTTTTGGGCGTCTTGCACGGATTAATTTTATTTCCATTATTTCTTATGGGGAAAATTCATTCGCATAACGATTATTTCGCATAACGATGAGCCCTCTTGCACGGATTAAAATCGTTAACCGGGGGTCCACTGTACTTCCTTAAATCTCGTGTTGAGCTCCTCACATACCTCTTGATCGTTTCTTGTGAGTTCCCCACCTTATTTCCTCAGCCTGATTACCTGGTCTTTGACTGTTGTCTTCCTCCTAATGTGGCTATACAACAGTTTCAGGTCAGACTTGACTGTCGATGCTATGTTGTTTTTGTACTGTCACTGGGCCTCGCTCCTTATCTGTGCATACTCGTTTCTGGCTCTTTGACTAATCTCCTAATTTTCCTGGGTCCTTTGCCTTCTATACGTTTTCCATTCTCTAGTGCACTTAGTTTTTGCCTCCCTACACCTTCGGGTAAACTAAGGACTCGCTTTGGTCTTCCCATCATATAGTTGCCCTTGGGAACAAACCTTTCCTCTGCCTCCTTGCATTTTGTAGTTACATATTCCATAATTTCATTTACTGAATTTCCTACCAATTCTCTGTCCCACTGAACCTCCTGAAAGAAGTTCCTCATACCTGTGTAGTCTCCCCTTTTATAGTTTGGCTTTTTCCATTCAACTCCTATTACCCTCTCCACTTGTAACTCTACTATGTATTCAAAGCTCAGGACTATGTGATCTCTAGCTCCAATGGGCCTTTCATATGTGATGT